ATAAAAAAAAAAGAAGAATTAGTAAAACATTAATGGGAGCTCAAAGCAGGAAGGGCTGAGGATGACTAAGGGCGAAATCACAGAGTTGCACAGTTTGGTGAGTGGAGGTAATGGGAAGGATCTGGGTGGAAAGACAGGGTAAAGATGGGCAAGATTCAATGGTGATTAATTTTATAAAACATAATTCATGTGAATGATTGTATGAAACACAATGTGAATGAAGAATAGTGTGAAATACAATGTACACAAACTTTGTAAACAGATCAATAAAACGTTTATGTTGGGAAAAAAAAAACCCACCTTGAGAAAAGGCTCTTAGTTCCAGTTTCAATGATGTAGCAGTCCCAAGGTCCTGTCTCATGTCAAGTCCTTGGTTCTCTGTCTCATGTCAAGTGTCAGGTCTGTTTCTCTGCTGTTGGTCCCTTGGGTTCTCTTGCTTGCTATTTTCCTGGTGATGAGATTTCTTCACTGGTGGTGGGGAGGTCTCATTCTCCTGCTGCTGGATTGCTCAGTTTACTGGTGAGACTAGCCAATTCCCTTGTGGACTGATAGATAGCCAATGCCTTGTGGATCGCCTAATGCATCCCATTCATATAATCCCATCCATCTACACTGTAAGACCAAACTCTGGCTTGGAAAGTCATATTGAAAGAGAAACACCACAGTAAACAACAGCTAAGGAATCATTCCCTGCCCCCAGCAGGAATACTTGCACACTCCACTAGGGTGTGATGTTCACTTATTAACAAATTTATAGAGATATCTTGCCACAGGTAATCGTGATTAAGCTTGAGAGAACATTTGAAGAGAGCTTAGAGAATGTGCTACTCCAAATGTGATGGGTCATGTCTTAGAATCCAGAAGGATGCCCAGTTTAAAGCAAAGACCCCAGTCAGAGCCTGTGCCTTCATTAATGTAGGAAATGGCCACCAGTCAGGCACCCCTCTCCCATCCGCAACACACTAGACTAGCTCCCAATGTTAAGACCAACTTTCGAGTGGAGAATTGTGTCCGTGCTGCGATCAACAGAATGCAAAACGATATGAGTTTAACCTCACATGGAGCTGACACTGAATCTAGTGATAACAATTCTTGTCTTCATAGCTCTGTTTAGTGAGAAGTGTATCCATAAGAACCATTTTTCCTACTTCCATTGCTAATGGATCATTTAAATGGACATAGTAATTTTAGGTGTACAAAATTAAAGTTTGATCAAAAAATGGCTAGAACAGTCCATTGATAGGTAACTGCAAGAAGTTGAAGCAGGGTTTCGTGGAGGCCATGGCACTAGGGCTATCATTGCTGACGTCAGGTGGATCCTGGCTAAAAGCAGAGCTAGCCAGAAGGATGTCTGTGTTTTATTGCCTGTGCAAAGGCATTTGACTGTGTGGATCATACCAAACTATGGTTGACACTGAGAAGAATGAGGATTCTGGAACATTTAATTATGCTCACATGAAACCTATACCTAAACCAAGAAGCTGATGTCTGAACAGAGCAAGGGAACACTGCATGGTTTAAAATCAGGGAAGGTGTGCATCAGGCTTGTATTCTTCCTCCATACCTTCTTAATATGTATGCCAAACTAATTCTTTGGAAGGCTGGATGTGATGAAGAAGAATGTGAGATCAGGATTGCAGGAAGACTCATCAACAACCTGCATTATGCAAACAACACAACCTTGGTTGTTGAAAGTGAGGAGAATTTGGAATGCTTGCTGCAGAAGAGCAAAGATTTTAATATGAATTACATCAAGAAGATAAAAATCCTCACCACTGGACAAACAAGGAACAGCATGATAGAGAAAAGATCAACTTTGTTAAGGATTTCAACTTCCTGGCTCTACAATTGACTTCTTTGGTACCAGCAGTAAGGAAATCATGAGATATATTAGAGTGGGCATGTCTTCTGTCATGGGCCTCTCTAAATTGCTGAGGAGCAATGATGTTAGTTTTAAGAGTAAGGTTCACTTGATTCATATCACTGTCTTTTCAGTCACTTGCTATACATCAGGGAGCTGTGTAATGCATAAGGAAGACAGAAAAAGAATGCTTTTGAGCTGTGGTGTTGGAAAAGTGTACTAAATATTCCTTGTACTACCAAATAACGAACAGATATATGTCTTGGAGAAAGTTCAGCTGGAATGCTCCTTGGAGGCAAAGATGACAAAACATGTTTCTAGAAGAGGCTATTCCTTGGAGAAGGACAGCATGCTTGGACAGGTGTACAGTGAGCCAAAGAAAGGAAGACCTCAATGCATCCAGTGAGTGAAGCAATGGGCCCAAGTGTGTTAGAGATGACGAGGACGTCACAGGATAGGACAGAGTACACATCTGTTGCCCATAGTTTCTGTAAGTCATGCTTTACCCAACGGCACCTAACAACAACAATTCAGATTGCAGAATATTAGAGTAAACCATGTTATATCATATAGAACAGAATTACTCTATAAAGTTCTTCTGAAATTTCAGGTCTCTCAAAATGTGACATATAATATATGTTGTATGGAACTGCCAAGTTTAGAATTGTTTTCTCAGCATCAATGCATAACTGGAGCAGAAGTGGGAAAGGTAACCCTGAAATATAGACAGAAAAGAAAATACATTGCCTTGATCAGACACTTGTAAGTATTTACACTATTCTTTTCATTACATTATTTTACATTTTTATTTTCATTATTCTTTAGCACTTTGAAGAGTCTTTGACAGAAGATTTTCCCAGTACAAAATGTCTCTGGATTTCTTGACTAATGACACCATCAATGTTGATAGTATAGCCAAATTAAATGAAATCCTTGACAAGGCTAGTCTTTTCTTAATCTATGTTGATGTTGCCAATTGGTAACCAGGATTTTTGTTTTCTTAATGTGGAGATGTGATCTATACTGAAGGTTGTAAGTCTTTGATCTTCTGCAATAAGTGCCTCAAGTTTTTCTTCACTTTCTGCAAAAGAAGCAGTGTTATCAGCATAAGGCTTGTTGTTGGTGAGTCTTCTTCCAATCTTGATGTCACATTCATCTTCATATTGTTGATGTACTAGTTGTTATTATGTGCCGTCAGGTCTCTTGCGACTCATAGCTACCACCCTGCTCTATCCTGTGCCAATCTTATTGTCTGACACACATCCCCCATTACCCCAGTGACTGAATCAATCCATCTAATCAAGGGTCTTCATCTCTTTTTCTATCTCTCCACCCTCCAAAGCATGACATCCTTCTCCAAGGATTGGTCCCGCCTTGCAACATGTCCAACATGTCAGACAAAGTTTCAGAATCCTTGCCTCCAAGGAGCAGCCTGATCTCACCCTGTCCAGGAGGAATCTGTTTGTTCTCCGAGCCTTCCATGGTATATTCAATACTCTTCTCCAGCACCACAGCTCAAAGGCATCAATTCTCCTTTTATCCTCCATAGTCATTGTGCAGCTTTCAGATGCATAGCAAGTAATTGCAAAGACCCTGGCCTGAATCAGGCACACCTTAGTCTCCAAACTTCAATACTTTGGAAAAATATCAGACAGCAGACTCTCTCAATGCAATTCATTTTTTAATTTCCTGGATGCTGGTACCAAGAGTATTAATTGTGGAGACAAGCATACTTAAGCTGTTAACAATCTCAATTTATGCTAGAGTATTCAACAAATTTTAATTATGAGTTCTACAATGGAATATTATGCAATACTGAAAAGTAATAAACTTGCAAACACTATACAACATGGATGAGTCCGAAAGACATTATGCTGATTGAAATATCTCTGTCCTAAGAGACAAATACTGTTTAAGCTGACTTTAAGGATTAAGACAAGGTAGAAAGAGAAGAATGGGGGTGTGGAGGGCTCGACAATGAACATTGCAATGGAATAGGTAAAAAGAATTACAGTTGAGATAAATGAAAGATTAGAAACTATGTATGTATGACACAGTTTTTGGAATAGGACAAGCATTACAAAGAAAATTGAGGGAAGGGGAAGGAAGAAAGGATGGATGAATGAAAAGAAAGAAAGAGAGAGAAAGAAAGAAACTAACTGATCTCTGTAAATTTTCACTAAAAGAAAAAGAAAAAAATAACAATTAGTCTGTAAACTTTCTGATTCTAGTGCCTTAGAAAGGAGCTTGGTGTCCTAATACTAATATACCACACATATAACCTCAAAGCACAGTTAAAATCCATCACCTGCTTCATGGCTGAAAGATGGGTGATCTTTTATGCAATGACTGTCTCTTAAAATCTACTGAATGATCAGCTAAGAGTTGATTTCAACTCAACCACAGCAACTGGATGTTTAATACTTTTGTAGTGGTGGTTAAGTACTGACAAGTCGATTATGATTCACAGTGACCTGATAAACAATGGATCTGAAGCCTACCCTATTCTATGTCATCATTATCTCTTAGATATTTTAGACTATTGACACAGTGATTGTGTCAATCCCTATCTTCCTGTCTTTTCCTGACTCTCCACCCTTCCAACTACAATGTCCTTTCCCAAGGAGTAGCCCCTCCTAACAACATGTCCAAAGGATGTGAGAGAAAAGTTCACCACCTTACATCCTGATTGCACTTTTTTGGATTTTTGTAGTCTTTGGGATACTCAATGCCCTTCTCCAACATTGCAGCTTAGAGTCATCTATTGTCTTTAGTCAAACAGATGCACAGCAAGTAATTCAAAAGGCGATGGCTTGAATCAGGTGCACTTTAGTCTATAAACTTACATCATTGCTCTTTAGTATTTTGGAGAAGTCCTTGATACCTGATTTTCCCAATGCAACTTTTTTTTTTTAATTCTTGATAGTGGGTACCAAAGATGTTGATTGTGGATGTAAGCAAGATAAAATTGTTGACAACTTCAGGTGGTTTTTTGGTGGGTTTGGGTTTTTTTCCCCCGTCATGATGTTGCCAATTGACCCAGTGGCAAATATTTGCACTTATTTATGTTGAAATGTATTCCGTATGAAAGGCTGACATTTTTAAACTTCTGCAGCAAATATTACAAGTCCTTCTCAGTTTCAGCAAGCAAGGCTGAGTCATCTGCATAACACAGGTTGTTGATGTGTCTTCCTCTGATTCTGATGTCACAATCTTCTTTATAAAGTCTAGCCTCTGGAGTGATTTTCTCAGTATACAGATTGAACATTGAATACCAGAACTCTAACATTTTCTACTTCTTGAATCTCAACACATAGAGAACAAATAAAACTTCATATTTAACATGTGTTGTGGTTGATTGTCATCCTGTCAAGCACAACTCATAGTTACCCTATGAACAGAAGACCTGAAGCTTTTCTACAACTATCATCTTTTCTCAAAGTTCTTAGAATTTCCAGAGACATGTTGTTTAGGAAGTGGATGACATTCCTGCTTCCCATATTATTTTAGTAGTGAAAAAATAAAACCTTTTCCAATAGGATGAATGTAAAGCCTATATTGAAGGAAAATGGGTGACACATTTCAGACAAGGATCTCATAACTAAAGTTTACAGAAACTACAGGGCCTCTCCTAGAAAATTGATAAGCCAATAGTAAAAATGGGCAAAATACATTGAAAGATCCTTCACAAACCATTTTGAGTGTCAACAGACACATGAAGAAATGTTTAATATCACTGGCAATCCGAAAGATGCAAACCAAAACAATAAGGAGATATCATCTCAGCCCAATAGTAGTAGCAATGTTAAAAAAAAGAGCAAACAATAAACGTTGGAAAGGATATGGAGAGATTGTAATCTCTGGAAGGCTGTTTGGTGTTTCCTCAAAAAGCTGAACATCTCATATGAATGTCGTATGCTATGAAATCTCATATGACTTAGCAATCCCATTGCTAGGAAAATGCCCTGAGAAAATCAGAACGGACACATGAATGGAGATAGGTACATTGGTTGAGAGCAGCATTTTTCACAATAGCAAGAATATGGAAAAAGCCCAAATGTTCATCAACAAATGTATGGATTGAGAAATTGTTGTACATTTACATACATTTACTCTTAAGATACAATGCAGCACTAAGAAAAAATGATTTCATAAAATTAAGTACAACATAGGAGAGTCTAGAGAACATTAGGTTGAGTGAAATAACTGCTTCACAAGGACAAATACTGAATAAGGTCATTATTGTAAAAACTGGAAGGATAACTAATCAAAAGAGGAAGGGAAATGGAAGAAGACCAGGAAAAGGGAAGAAGAGAAATCAGTAGGATAGCTGAGATTAGGGAGTGGGTGGGGGAAGGTGAAAGAATAGGAAAGATTCAATGGGGACTTAAAAAGATGGGGTAATAATAGACATTGATAAAAAGAATTAATTTTATAAAACAATGTTTATGAAATATTGTATAAAACACAATGTATATGAATGAATCACAATGTAAATGAAAGTGTTAAAATAAAATTAAATACACGTGAAACACAAGGCATATGAATGATTTTATGAAAAACAATAAAATATATAAAAAAGGGAAAAATAAAAGTTGCTGATACAAAATAAGACTTAAAAAATCAAGTAAAAAGTTAATCTGGGATATCTCTGGTGGAGAGTTTTGAGGCATATTTATAATGTCTTATTTTATTTTTGTGAAATACTCTTATATAATAAGCAACACTATTGCTTATTAAGAAAATATTGAATCATTCCCCCCACAAACAAGGCATACTAATTTTATGAACTTTGCATAAAAACAGTATAAAATTTTTAAAAAGTGGGAAAGAAAATATTGAATCTCTTTAGGAAAACCTTTCACCAATTAAAATAAATTCTGTAGTAACTGCAGCAAAATTCATTATGTGAAATGTATTATCTCAACAGAAATACTTCATATACCAAAAATAAGTTCTATTAACTAAGAAACAAAAATCTTAAACTATATTTTGAAAAAATAATCATGGTAAGTATACACTCAAGAAACACTTTTTATCATTTACAGGCTATGGAATGTGAGGACTAATGTACCACAACTGAACAATTAATTATACATGGTTTTCCTGAAGGACCATTACTTTCTTTATAGTATGTAGGCATTTGTCTCCAAATTTAGTGTCTTTTGCTTCTCCAAAGCTTTTTCATAGCATTTTTCATCTCTGCATTTCTCAGAGTATAGATTAATGGGTTCAGCATAGGAGTGATAATAGTGAAAAACACAGCTAATGATTTATCAACAGGTAGAATGGAAGGAGGTCTTAAATATATAAAGATACAAGGGACAAAGAAAAGGACCACCACAGTGATGTGGGAGCCACAGGTCGATAAAGCTTTGCGCCTCCCTTCCTGACTAAGATTCTTCAGGGAGCGCAGAATGACAGCATAAGAGATGAGTAACAGGATAAAAGTGACCATACATATCGCCCCATTATTGGCAACAACAGAAAGGCCAATGATATAGGTGTCAGTGCAGGCAAGTTTTAATAAGGGGTATATATCACAGCTAAAGTGATCAATGACTTTGGGACCACAGAAAGGCAGACTGTAAACAAAAAGTATCTGAACTATTGCATGAAGAAATCCTCCAACCCAAGCTAAAAGAAGTAGCACAACACACACCCTTTTGTTCATGATGGTCATATAATGCAGTGGCTTGCAGATAGCTATGTAACGGTCATAGGCCATAATCAATAGAAGCAGTATTTCAGCTCCACCAAATAAGTGTTCTACAAAGAGCTGAGTCAAGCAAGCTTGAAAAGAAATGGTCTTCTTCTCATAGATTAAGTTCCTAAGCATACTTGGAGTTATGGTAGTAGAATAAAAAGCATCCATAAATGATAAGTAGCCAAGAAAAAAGTACATGGGTGCATCCAGGGCTGGGCTGACCACCACAGTTACCACAATGAGCAGGTTGCCAATCATTGTCACAATATAAATCAGCAAGAACAAAACAAATAATATTTTCTTGCCCTGTTGATTCTGAGTGAGGCCCAAGAGGATAAACTCAGTCACATTGTTTCTCGGTTGCATATGTTCTTCCATGTGTCCTTAGTTTAATAAAAATTTACCTGTAAATATAATTATGATTAGAGGTTTTTATTAATCTTAAAATACTTTTATTATTCTTTTATCCCTACTGATATGGTAAGAATACAAGACTCATCAAAATAAAGTCCCTAACCTTAGTGATTATGTAAAAGAATGAAAAGTTAAGTTAATTAAAAAATATTTTAATTAGATAACCAGTAAAAGACAAACAGCTTAATAACAAAGTAAGAAAATCTAGTACCAGCAAACCATTGAGGGTAGCTAGAAAACCAATGAGAAACTATCATAAGATAGAATGGTGAAGCTCACTTGTAAATAAGAAAATACATAATACTACAACAGCTAAGACTTCATACCTATTACACTGCCAGAAGTAGATTTGCAAGAATTAACAGTTGTACCTTTCTAGAATAAAGGACAGAGAGTTTCTAACATTGCTTATTTATTAATGACATGTTTGGCAGCAACATATCAAAATTTCTGCAGAAGATAGCAACACAGAGCCTTTTATCACAGTAATTATGTCTTTAGAAGTCATTGGAATTACATCTGTATCTAAGAATACATTCAAGAACATACTTTGTTCTATTATTCTTAATGGCATTAAAATTTTTAAAAAATAGCAGAAAATTGTAAATGAACGCTAAACAATCAAGAAAGTGGACAAATTTTTTACAATTTTTTTTCTTTTATAATTGTTTGCTTACATGAAAATTTATTTTGTTAAAATATCTTTCTGTTAAATGTAATGCAAGTACATAAAAGAATTAATTGTAGCTCTGCTTCAGGAAATTCCTACAGATATTATTGAGCAAGAAAGTAATAAGCATATATATTAGAATAAAATAAAATTATTCAAAATAAATATGTACATTTTGAATGCTTATATATGATTTCATGAGCATGGGGAAACAGAGAGAAACACACTTTCATTGATGTTCTATGCATACTATATTCGTGCTGTGAAGTACTAAAGGAAGCAGTAATGGAAGTTTCCAATTAAAACAAGCGTGGAAGCAGGAGTGGCATCCACTTCTGAAACGGCTTGCCTCCAGAAACTCTATGAACATAGAGAAATGAAGAAAGTTTTACAAGTCTTCAGGTCTTTTGTTCATAGGGTCACTAAGAGTTATCTATGACTCGATGCCACTTAACAACAACAACGAGAGAGAGCTCTACTGACTTAGTGGATAGAAAGTTATGTTACCAACCCAAAGGTGGTGCTTTTTATTTTGCAGCCCTCAGGCCTGGTTTTAATTGGTTTTGGTCAAACATTCTTCTAAGTGGTATAGCACTGGTCTGTCCATTTGCTGTACGGAGGTAATTCATGGTTGCTGTGATGCTAAACACTGTGACACTAATGTGTCAAATGTGATAATGGTTACCCATCATGGACAGCATTTGGTGGAGCTCCCTGATTAAAGCAAGACTGGAAGCAGGAGTGGCATCCCCTTCTGAAACAGCTAGCCTCTAGAAACTATGAACTTGGAGAAATGATAGGACACATCCTTGGCACACACCCTTCCCAGTTTTGGACCGTATAGTATTTGGTTGCTCTGTTCTGATGACTCCCTCTTGCTTCAAGTATAGGTTTCGCATAAGCATAATCAAGTGTTCTGGGATTCCCATTCTGCTTCATTGATTATACAATGGCTTTTGAGTGTGTGGATCACAACAAACTCTGGCTAACTCTTAAGAGGAATAGGAATCAATCTATATGCAGAACAGATTATCCAGGAGGTTGGGCTGTTATGAGGAGAAATGTGGCAGCAAGATTGGAGGAAGATTCCTCAACAATCTGCACTGTGCAGATGACACAACCCTACTTGCTAAAACTGAAGAGGAGACCAAGATTCTTAACCACTGGGCCAATTGGTAGCATTATGAGACATTATGTTAACAGCTTTAGTTTGCTTGGCTCCACAGTCAACAACTCTTGGCACCAGCAGCCAGGAAATCAAAAGACATATTGCAATGGGAATGTCTGCTGTTCAAGACCCCTCCAAAGTACTGAAAAACAATGATGTAACTCTGAAGACTAAGGTGCATCTGATACAGTCCATGGTATTTGCAATCACTTGTTATGCATCAGAGACCTGGACAATGACTAGGGAGGATAGAAGGAGAATTGATGCCTTTGAGCTGTGGTGTTGAAGAAGAGTGTTGAAAATACCATGGACTCTTAAAAAAACTAACAGGTTCATCTTAGAGAGGGTTAAACCGGACTGCTCTTTGGAGGCAAGGATTCTGAAGCTTCATCTGATATATTTTGGACATGTTGCAAGGAGGGGCCAATCCTTGGAGAAGGATGTCATGCTTGGGAGGGTGAAGGGACAGCGCAGGAGAGGAAGACCCTCTATGAGGTGGGTTGATTCAGTGACTGAGGTAGTCGGGGTAGGTGTGTTGGAGACAGATTGGCACAGGACAGAACAGGCTTTAGGGCTGTTGGACATAGGGTAGCTCTAAGTCACAGGCGACTAGATAGCACATAGCAACAACAACAACAGGTAGCTGGAAATGAATTGAGAACCCAATCAAATGAAGAGAGATGATCCGTTCTGTAAACTAAGGTTGACTGCTGCAGTCTGATGGCTTGATATCTGGATGGATGATATTCAAAGGTTCCCAATTGAACAGAGGATCCTTCATTCAAAGAGATGTGCATATTTCCTCAGAGTACAGGCTTGATAGAGATGGGTAAAGCAGATATTGGCCATGTAACAGGGAGATAATAGAGCGTGAAGTATGATGCAGCTGCCTTGTACACTCTCACACAAGTTAAATTAGTATAGCATAATGTAAATAAAGGACTCTATGGAACACAATGTACATGTATGAAACAAAATGTATATGAATAATAAAAATATCACTATAAAAGAAAAAAAGAGTGATTCTCTTTATTTTGTAACTTCTTTTTTAAAGTACTTTTTCCTTCGAACCACTTACTTTTTGCCAAGGTCTGGGGCTTCAATCATGTTAACAGTCATTGCTAGAGTTCACTGGAACAAATCTGCTATGGGCCGGCTAAGCTAATTTCATGGAATAAATTGAATACAATAGAGAGTCTGCATACTCGATTTAAGTCTATAAAAGAGAAAAAATATATTATTAGACTCAATTATACCACTATATTAGTACTTTTCTAGAAGGAAACTTAATATGTTTTATAAAAACATGGCATTTTAAAATGGAAAATAAAATATCTTAGGAACAAAAAATTCCCTTTTGTAGGAAAGATGATCTTTAATCTCAGATTTGTAATGGATATCTACTCATTTGATTGTTATAAAAATGTTTAAATATACACAAATTACCGTACATAGCAAGCTTTTAGACATAACTAGCATTTATTCTTTCTACCCTGACTCAGCTGATAGCATATGTATGTTACATTCTCTATTTTAAACACATTTATATTAAATATTAATCTTAACTAATACATAATGTAATCCATGACCTTATAACTCTATTGTTTCTTTTTTATGTACAACAGATAATTTTATTACTTAGTAAAAAAAAGAAACAATTGTCAAACTAAAATCTTAGAGACAAAAAGACTATGTATGCCCAACATTTTTCTCAATTAATTTATATATAAATATATTCTAAAATACCATAATCAAATATATTTGAGATATCATCTATGATTCAATGGTGGGTGTAACATTTTAATAATGGTAGTTTGTCAGTTATTTAAAAAAGTCAAACCTAAGAATTTGTCCTTTGTTTTGAAAAATATATGTTTCTTTCATTGAGTGAAACTACAGCGAGCTCAAGTATTTATATAGGACAACAGAATATATGATAACACATAGATCAGTGGATCTAGAAATAATCCCAAATGCCTGCAGCTTTCCCACATCCATAAAGGCTTCACATCATCTCAGTTCTGGACGTTCTTTTTGTATGTTTGTTTTCAGGTAAGTATAGAAGTGAAGAAGAATGCAAAGTGAAGTTGGTATATGAAGACATAAAAATAATAGCAAGGTGTGTAAGGTGCAAATATAATAAACACTTGAACATTCTCATCTGTTTGAAAAATACACTCAAAGATTAAGATGCTATATTTTCATGACAATGGATACAAGTTGGAATATTAATGGAAATTAACATGACACAGTGTGTCTTTGAGGCACACATACACACAAACATGGGAAAATAATTTAAATTAATCTTAAATTTTCTCTTTTGAGACAATCTTATAGTCTTCTATTTGAATGAGATTTTAGGTAACACATTTGTACCTCATTCTCTACCTAACAAGATAAATTCTGGTATTGAACTTCTGGTATTAACTTGATCACAAATGGGAGAGAAAAACGTTTAGCCTTTACTTACTCAAATTTTACTTTCAAAGACTCTTGGAACAATGCCCTTTCCTCGCTTTAAAATCCCCAGAAAATCAGGACATTTCACAAATCTCTACTAGCAATGAGAGATATGTGTCTCCAGTCTGGACACAAATTGAGGTTTCATAACTCTCTTGGGTCATTGTATCAGAAATAATTATTCTATTTATATATGTAAATATAATCTATGAATTTTTTTACATCATCATTGTTTTAAATGAAAGAGCATGCATTTTCACATTAATTAACTTGTTAGAATATTTGGAACAAACTCAAATAAATTAACCTTTTCTGGACAGGTTTTTTTCCTAGACAGTCCTTCCAATAAAAAGGCTTGTCAGACCAAGTAATGTAAAAAATCTATAGTATGAAGAAAAAAAAATGTTAAAATGAAGGATAAATTAATTACATTTATATTAACAAATATTTGATCAAAAGGCAAATAATATTTATGACAAAATGAATGAAGAATTAGCAGCAGATTGCTTTGCACAACCATATACTTAACAAGAAAGAAAGAAAGATAAAGAAGGCATAAATATGAGATATTTTGAACCAGACAATCGCATGATCTACTACATTGGATATGATAAGGTAAGGAGAATGAGTCCTAGTCATAGTTAAAAAAACCAT